AACCTTGAGAAGGAAGGAGACACTGACACACGCTACCTACCACACGGAGGAACCCTGAGGACGCTGCACCAATGGAAAGAAGCCAGTCACAGGAGAACAAATACCGTGTGACTCTCCTGTATGCAAGGTGCCTGGAGGAGAGCGGGGAAGTAGATGGTGGGCCAGGGGCTCGGTAGGGGAACGGGGAGTCAGTGTTTAATGGCGACAGAGTCTCAGTTTGGGAAGATGAGAAAGTTCTGGAGAGGGATGACAGTGATGGTTGCAAGACAAGGTGAACGCTCTTAATGCCACTGAACTGTGCACTTGAAAATGGTTAAAATGGTAAATTTTACGTTATATATATTTTACCACAATTTTTAAAAAGCACAATGCTGCAACCCACAAAACCTCTCAGAATGTAACAGGGAAGAGCTAAATGGGACTCCACATTATCTGTTTCTTTGACTTTTATTTAACCTCTGCTTTTTGTTGCTTTTGTTATTATAATCACACACAATGGCCTGCCTCAGGGAACCCTGTCCACCAGTGGATGGCTGCAAGGAAAAAGAAACTAACACATCCCCTCTCGGAGGCTGGCCATTCCAGGAGATGTTCTGCAAGATTGATGGCCCTTTTACTTTACTTCCTCATCCCCTCCCCCCCTTCTCTGTTCTCTACCTCAGTACCTTGTCTCTGATTCACTGGCGAGCAGAGGGAGCTTGCACTTGATAAGAAGAAGGGTGAGAGGTCAGGGGAGCAGCCCCCACCCCCAACCCTGCAGCGTTAGTATTGGAAAACCTGTTTGAGAAAATGTACAGTGGAAATTCTGGCCAATTGTATTCAAGGTCTTCTAACTCATCTGAAACATCACTGGTTCAAGTCAAGTTTATCATACGGGCTGAATACACACACAGGTGGCTCACCTCACCTCTCTTCCAACAGCTGGGAAGCAGAAGAGTTAAGTGTGGTGAGCATCAGAGGCAACTCACAGCCGGGACTGAAGACCTGTTCCACACTTCGCCATTCCCATTTCATTCATCTTTACATGAACGTGAGCAATTTCTGTTTTGAGACATCAACTGTCATGGGTGATGAAGCAGCAGCGGGTGGGAGAGGGGCGGGATGAAGACCCAGCCAAGGACGGAAGGGACCTCCCGGAGACCCAAAACCTAATCACGACTCCTTCCTCAACGCTCTCCCTACCTGCTCTCTCAGGCTCACCCCCTCACACGAGGTTCCCAATGAACATGACGAGAATGACCCTGAGGTTTCATAAAGGCCAGAAGAAAATCTGCTCTCAAAGGCCACGTCTTCTAAGGATGGGAGCTCCCTGGCTCCCTCCACCCACGGCCGTCCTGAAAGCCAGACCTCGGCCCTTCAACCCCTGGCTGGCCTGTTCCTTCACTGGTCTTCTGCGTCACCACTACCCTGCCAACGGGTCTCACCGGTCAGATCAGAGATGCTGCGGAGACAAGAGGAGAGGATACAGGAGGGAGAATTACGAGGAGAAACTGATTTTCAGACCCAAGAGCATTCTTCTGCACCCAGGGAAAAAAAGATAAAACTCATCTCCATCAGACAGATTTTCAAAAATAAAAAACGGACAAATAAATACTCTATTTGAAACAACACTTTAAAAATCAGCATTGAAAAAAAAAATTCAATGGTTCAAGCTAGAAAACATGATGCTGAATTAGCAACAATAATCACGGAATCTAAGGGCAAACATTCTCCACCCTGGACCTGCAATGTGGAGCAAATGCTTTTCGCTCATAGGGTGAGCGGTTAAAAAAGGTTGGAGGCCATTGCCTGGGGGCGTTACTGCGCTCTTATATCAGGCTCTCCATCTGCCAGTGGATTTCCTGCCCACACTGGACTGAGTGCTACCTCCTCCCATCCATCCACCTACACATACCAGATACCCAACACCTAGAACACAGGAAGCCGCTGAGTTCCTGAACAGCCTACTCACAGAGTGGAAAGTGCTGTGACCATGGTTCCTTGCAGACCACAGAATTCTGGCTGTGCCCAGGATTCTTGGGGAAAATGTATTTCTTAACCACAACAAAATAGTTTCTAAAGGAAAAAAAATCATGTGTATGATGGCTGAGTAAGAAAAAAGGTTTCAACAAAAAACGAAGATAAAGTCCTTCAAAGGCAAAATAAAAGGACATGGTGCATTCATCAAAGGTTATTAAGTAATAACTTAAAAAAGAGGAAAACCAGGGGCTTCCCTGGTGGTGCAGTGGTTGAGAGTCCACCTGCCGATGCAGGGGACACGGGTTCATGCCCCGGTCCGGGAAGATCCCACATGCCGCGTAGCGGCTGGGCCCGTGAGCCATGGCCGCTGAGCCTGCGCGTCCGGAGCCTGTGCTCTGCAGTGGGAGAGGCCACAAAAAGGAGAGGCCCCCCAAACCAAAAAAAAAAAAAAAAAAAAAAGGGGAAAACCAGTACATTCCTATGCCTTTGAAGATAGGGAAATCAACTGTATAACAGTTAAGGACATGAAAACCCGGGTCAATGCCACATTGATTTTAACTACGGGGTCTGACTCTAAGTGGTCACGTCTAGGACATGCCCTGAACATGACTTCTCCCCCACTCCCCACATATGCCTTAAAATTCAAGAGAACACTTGGCTTTGCTAATAGGAGACAACCCACAGGAAATCTCTCATGAATCCACACAGCAGAAGTACATCCTATTATTATAATAAAGAAATGCTTAAGAGCTAACTCTTCCATTCAGATACGCTCTCCACTGCACGGGTAATGCCTATCACATAGGAAGGGACTGTGGCTCGGGGCTTCGGAGTCGGGGGGGAAGGAGGAGGCAGACCTAATGGAGACATCTAACGCACACACATGCCCCCAAGTCTAGTGCAGCTGGGACATGTGGAGGGTGTAACACAGGAGGGTCTGGACTCCCTGGGCAGACGCCATCCCTCCCCAAGAAGAAACGCTAACAATCAAATTCTCTGTCACCATCAAAGCAAAATTTCATGAACTAACTTCCTGGTTCCAGTCCTGCATGTAAAGAGTCTGGACGTCATCACTCCATTCCAACAAATAAAAAGCTGAACAGGCTGAAAAGTCAAGTCCTCGTAGATCCCTCGGAGAAGTGAGCTCACAGGGCAAACCGCTGCTCCCAGAACTGGGGAGACCAGCAGGTGAATACAGAGGGTCAAAATTTCCGGGGCAGCAAGTTCTGCAGGAGGTAGAGCCGGGGAGGGACCCGAGCAGCAGGATGAACCACCGGAGGCTCACTGTGGGCGAGCCTGACGGGTAAGAACTCCGGCGGGGGAGGCCCAGGGATCCCACAGTTCCGTGACTTTCACCCCTTCAGGCATCCAGTGGCGGGGGGAAGGAGCCGTTCTGAAATAGCGGAAGCACTCCGTTGTTAACAAAGCCAGCCCTCGAGAGAGCTAATCAACCCGGAGGAAGGGGAATGCCCAGCTCCGGGGGACTCTAACCATCCTGTCCCACCTGAGCGGCAGGACAGCTGAGAAGCGGTTGTGAAGCTGACACCTGGGGCGCAGGCTCACTAGGAGACTGACACCTGCCACATAAGGACAGCACGCCTCCCCTCCCCGACACCTTATCAGCACATCACCAAAGGCCTGGTTACTGGGGTTCTTTTTACCTAGGACATCGTATCTGGGTTCCTAAGAAAAAAATTCCAAGGCACACTAAAAGGCAAAAAGCATAGTGTGAAGAGACAAGCCAGCACCAAAACCAGACTCAGGTATGGCAGGATGTTGGAATTATCAGACCAGGAATTTAAAGCAACTATGATTACTACGTTAAGAGCTCTAATGAAAAGAGTAGACAATATGGAAGGACAAACGAACACTGTAAGCAAAGAGATGAAAATTCTAAGGGAGGATTATAAAAAAATGCTAGAGGTTAAAAACACTAACAGAAATGAAGAATGAGTTTGAGGGGCTCATTGGGAGACTGGCCATGGCTGATGTGAGAACCTCATGGCTCGAGGCTATGACAATAGAAACTTCCCAAATAAAAAGCAAAGATGAAAGAAAAAAGATTGAAAAAAAAAACAAAAAACAACAAGCCCAAAACAAAACAAAATAGAATACTGAAGAACTGTGGGACAACTACAAAAGGTGAAACATGTGTAATGGGAATACCAGGAGAAGAGAGAAAGGAATAGAAATATTTGCAGTGATAATAACTGAGAATTTCCTCAAGTTAATGTCAGACACGAAACCACAGATCCAGGAAGCTCAGAGAACACCATGCAGGATAAATACGAAAAAAACTACACCCAGGCACAGCATATTCAAACTGTAGAAAATTAATGATAAAGAAAAAAAAATCTTGAAAGAAGACAGAGGGGAAAAATACCGCTTTAGAGAAACAAAGGTATGAATTACATCCAACTCCTCATAAACAATGCAAGCAACAAGAGAATGCAATGAAATAACTCAAGGGTTGAGAGAAAAATTCATCAACTTAGAATTCTGGACCCTGTGAAATTAATCTCTAAGAGTGAAGTTCTGGGAGAAATAAGGACTTTCTAAAAACTGAGGGAATCTGTTGCCAGTAGATCTGCCTTGCAAGAAACGTTAAAAGAGGCTCTTCAGAGAGGAAACTGATTTAGGTCAGAAATGCAGCTCTCCATAAAGAAAGGAAGAGAATCAGAGAAGGAATAAGTGAAAGTAAAATTACATTTGTAATTTTTCTTATTTTTTTTTAATAAATTTATTTTATTTATTTATCTTTGGCTGCGTTGGGTCTTTGTTGCTGCGTGCAGGCTTTCTCTAGTTGTGGCGAGCGGGGCTACTCTTCATTGCGGTGCACGGGCTTCTCATCGTGGTGGCTTCTCTTGTTGCAGAGCACAAGCTCTAGGCACGCAGGCTTCAGTAGTTGTGGCACACAGCCTTAGTTGCTCCACGGCATGTGGGATCTTCCCGGACCAGGGCTCGAACCCGTGTTCCCTGCATTGGCAGGTGGATTCTTAACCACTGTGCCACCAGGGAAGTCCCATTTTTCTTATTCTTAATTGATCTAACAGATAACAGTTTGCTCAAAATAATAATAGCAACTGTGTATTTGATTCTGTATGCTTATACATGTTTATATATATGAATGGCGTATGAAATGCATGACAGCAATGATACAAAGAATGGGAGGGAGAGATTCATAATATTTTGCTGTAATACACTTGTGCTAACTGTGAAGCAGGACAGTGTTGTCTGAAGTTAGACTTGGATTAGCTGTAAAAAAAAAAAAAAAGGTAAAAAAGGGAGAAAATGGAATCATATAAAATGTTCAATTAAAACTACCAAAGGCAGGGACTTCCCTGGTGGCGCAGTGGTTAAGAATCCACCTGCCAATGCAGGGGACACGGGTTTGATCCCTGGTCCGGGAAGATCCCACGTGCCGCAGAACAACTAAGCCCGGGCGCCACAACGACTGAGTGTGCGCACTAGAGCCCATGAGCCACAACTACTGAAGCCCACGAGCCTGTGCTCCTCAACAAGAGAAGCCACTGCAACGAGAAGCCCAGGCACCACAATGAATAGTAGCTCCCACTCGCCACAACTAGAGGAAGCCCACGTGCAGCAACAAAGACCCAATGCAGCCATAAATAAGTAAATAAAATTTACATTAAAAAAAAATTTAGGGCTTCCCTGGTGGCGCAGTGGTTGGGAGTCCGCCTGCCGATGTAGGGGACACGGGTTCGTGCCCTGGTCCGGGAAGATCCCACATGTCGCAGAGCGGCTGGGCCCGTGAGCCATGGTCACTGAGACTAAGCGTCCGGAGCCTGTGCTCCGCAACGGGAGAGGCCACAGCAGTGAGAGGCCCGCGTACCGCAAAAATAAAAAAAAAAACAAACTATAAAAGGCAGAAAAAGAGTGGAAGAAAAAAGAACATAGAACAAGGTCAAGGAATAGAAAAGAATAACAAATATGGTAGACATTAATACAACTATATTAATAATCACTTTACATTGTCAATGGTCTAAATACACCAATTAAAAGACAGAGATTGTCAGAATGGATCAAAAAACAAGACCCAACTAACTACATGCTGTCTACAAGAAATCCACTTTAAATATAAAGACACACATAGATGAAAAGTAAAGGGGATGGCAAAGAGATACCATTCTAATACTAATCAAAAGATGGCAGAAGGAGCTATATTAGCTTCAGACAGAACAAACTTCACAACAAGGAAAGTGACCAGGAATAAAGGAGGGCAATACGTAATGCTAAAGAGGTCAATTTGCCAAGATGACATAACAATCTTTAATGTGTATGTGCCTCACAAGAGCATTAAAACACATGAGATAAAAACTTAGAGACCTGCAAGGAAGAACAGATGAAGCCACTATCATAGCTGGAGACTTCTCTCTCAGGAAGGGACAGATCCAGCAGGCAGAAAATCAGTAAGGACACAGGTGAACTCAACAACACCATCATCCAACTGGTGATACAACTGACATCTATAGATTCCTTCATCCAACAGCTCACATGGAACAGTCACCAAGACAGACCACATCCTGGGCCATTAAACACACCTGAACGCATTGAAAAGAACACAAACCATATAATATCTGCTTTAAGACCACATTGGAACTAAAACTCAATACTGGAAAACCTCAAATTACTTAGACATTCAACAACATACTTATAAAGAATGCACAGGTTAAGAACAAATCTTAAAGAAATTAAAAATATTTTGAACCAAATAAGAATGAGAATACAACTTACCAAAATTTGTGTAATGTAGTGAAATCAGTGCTTGGCAGGAAACTGACAGCACTGAATACAATACGGAGAAGAAGAAAGACTTGAAATCAATCATCTAAGCTTCTACCTCAGAAAACTAGAAGAGCAGAATAAACCCTAAGTAAACAAAAGAAAATAAATAATAAAAATTATAAATCTAAGAAATAGGAAAAAACCCTGAAAACTGGTTCTTTGAAAAGATTAATAAAATCAATAAGCCTCTAGCCAAGCTAACTATGAAAAAAAGATAGAAGACACAAGTTAGAATATCAGAAATGAAAGAGGTGGACATCAATACAGATCTCACGGACATTAAAAGGAGAATAAAGGAATACTATGAACACCTCTACGCCTGCAAATTTGATAACCTAGATGAATGGACCAATTTCTTGAAAGACAAAATCTCCATAACTAGGACAGGAAAAAATAGACAATTTCAACAGGGCTATATTTATTTTAAAAATTGAATCAACAATTATTAACCTCCACAAACAAACAGCACCGGGCCCAGCTGAGTTCCTTGGTGAATTCTACCAAACACTTAAGGAAGAGATTATACTAATTCTCTACAATCTCTTCCAGAAGATAGAAGCAGAGGGAACACTTCCTACCTTATCCTATTAGGCCAGCATTACCCTAATAACAAAACCAGACAAGAAAAGAAAACTATAAACCAACACCTCTTGTGAATATAGAAGTAACAATCCTCAACAAAATATTGGCAAATTGAATCCAACAATGAAAAAGGACTGTACACCATGACCAAGTAGGATTTACCCCAGGTATGCAAGTCTGGTTCAATATGAAAATTAATTAATGTAATCTACCACATTAAGAAGTTAAAGAAGGAAAGTCACATGATCATATTAATAGATGCAGAAAAAGCATTTGACAAAATTCAACACTCATTCATGAATAAAAACTCTCAGCAAACTAGGAATAGAGGGGAAACATCCTCAACTTGATAAAGAGCATCTAAAAATACCCCTTCAGCTAACACCATATTTAATGATGAGAAACTAAAAGCTTTCCTGCTAAGATCGGGAACAAGGAAAGGATGTCCTCCCTCATCTCTCCTTTTCAACATCATACTAGAATTCCTAGCTAATGCAGTAAGACAAGAAAAGGGAACGAAAGGTATAATATAGATTGCGAAGGAAGAGACAAAACTGTCTTTGTTTGCAGGTGACATGACTGTCTAGGTAGAAAATCTGAAAGAATCAACAAACAAAAAAATTCTTGGAACCGATAAGTAATTATAGCAATGCTTGTTATAATTGGAGGGTACAAGTTATACAAAAGTCAATTGCTTTCCTATATATGAAGAATGAACAAGTGGAATTTAAAATTAAAAGCACAATACCATTTACATTAGCGTCCCCCAAATCAAAATACTTTGGTACAAGTCTAACAAAATAGGCACGAAGTGTATATGACCAAAACCATAAAACTCTGATGAAACAATTTAAAGAGAACTAAATAAATGGAGAGATATTCCATGTTCATGGATAGGAAGAGTCAATATTGTCAAGGTCAGTTCTTACTAACTTGATCTGTAGATTCAACACAATCCAAATCAAAATCTCAGCTAGCTATATTCTATGGGTATCAACAAACTAATTCCAAAGTTTACATGAAAAGGCAAAACAAACAGCCAAACAAAAAAAAACCCAGAAAAGCCAACACAATACTGAAGGGAATGAATAGGTTGGAGGACTGACATTACTCAACAACTTCAAGACCAAATATAAATCTAAAGTAATCAAGACAACACAGTACTGGGGAAAGAACAGACAAATAAGTCTATGGAAGAGAAAACAGAGCCCAGAAATAGACCCACATAAATATAGTCAACTGACTTTTGACAAAGGAGCAACGGCAACACAATGAAACAACCATGGCCTTTTCCACAATAATACTGGAACAACTGGATATCCACATGCAAGAAAAAAAAAAAAAAACTAGATACAGACCTTACAACCAAATGGATCACAGACATAAATATGAAACACAAAATGATAAAGCTCCTAGAAGACAGCATAGGAAAAAAATCTAGGTAACCTTGGGTATAGCGATGACTTTTTAGATACATCGAAGGTATAATCTACAAAAGAACTCATAAAGCTAAACTTCATTAAATTAAAACTTTCTGCTCTGGGAAGGACACTGTCAAGAGAATAAGAAGACAGGCCACAGACTGAGGGAAAATATTTGCAATCACACATCTGATAAAGGACTATTATCCAAAATACTCAAAGAACTCTTAAAAGTCAACAATAAGAAAAGGAGCGACCTGATTAAGATGTGGGCAGAAGACCTGAACGGACACTTCCACAAAGTTTTACAGATTAGGGAATTGCAAATTAAAACATCAATAAGCTACCACTTCCAAACTATCAGAAGGGCCACAATAAAAAAAAAACAAACCGTGACAACACCAATTGCTGGTGAGGGTGTGCAGCAAAACGAACTCTCATTCATTGCTGGTGGGAGCGCACAACGGTGCAGTCACTTTGGAAGGTAGTTTGGCAATTTCTTATAAACATAAATGTATTCCTACCATATGATCCAGCAGTGGCGCTCCTTGAATTTACCCAAATGAATTGAGAACTTATGTCCACACAAGAAAACTGCACGTGGATGTTTACAGGAGCTTTAATCATAACTGCCAAAACTTGGAAGCAACCAAGATGTCCTCTGGAGGTGAATGGATAAATAAGTTGTGATATATCCAGACAACAGAATACAATTCAGCGGTAAAAACAAAAGTGCTACCAAGCCGTGAAAAGACATAGATTAACGCTCAATGCATGTTACTAAGTGCAAGAAGCCAGTCTGAAAAGGCTACGTCTGAGCTGATTCCAACTATGTGACATTTTGGAAAAGGCAAAAACCAGGGAGACAGTAAAAGGATTGGTGGTTGCCAGGGATTGGGGGGAGAAGGGATAATAGGCAGAGCACAAAGGGTTTTTAGGTCAGTGAAACTGCTCTGTAGGATACCGTAGTGGTGAATTCATGTCACTGAATATACAACACCATGAGTGAGTCCTAATGTAAACTATGGACACTGAGCCATGATGATGCATCAGTGTTGGTTCACTGACGATAACAAATGTCCCATCTCGTGGGGGATGTTGATAGTGGTGGAGTCTGTGCGGGGGTGGGGGGTGGGGGGGTGGGGGGTGTCTATGGAAACCTCTGTACTTTCTGCTCAATTTTGCTGCAAACCTAAAACTGCTCTAAAAAACAAAGTCTGTGAAAAAAACAAAAATCTGTGAACCGATACATCCCATCCTGTATTTTTTATTCTACTGATATTTTTTCTTCCAAGAAATTTTTGTCACCTCCCAGTAAACTCATTTCACCACCCACTAAGGGCCTGAAGGAAGACAGCAAAACATTGCTCTAGGGCAGTGTCTCCAGCTGCCCTAGGAAGTGCATTCCCTACCCCACAGGCGATACACTCCAGATGCCACATTCAGCTCATTCACAGTTAGTGGGCAAGACAGGTCCCCACCACCCACCAGCAGCCCAAGGCTGGCCTGGCCCTGGGAGCTGCTGCAGTACCTGGAGGGAGGGTCTCCATGCTCTGTGCTTTCTCATCCCCGTTGCTGTGATGAAGGTCTTTCTTTTTAATTGGGTCAATGTCATTCCAGTCCTCCTGGGGGAGCAAAGACACCAAATGAGTCGACAGGTTCCTGGAGCCCACCTTCATTCATCAGGTCAATAAACAATGAGTCCTCCCATCCGGAGGACTGCACCCCAGACCTGCTCAGTGGTGGAGACCCAAGGACAGAAGTGAGTCTGTCCAAGTTCTTGGCGTGAACTTTCCAAGGAAGGACCTGTGTTTCTCTCTCCATTGTCTACGTGTATCACTTATCTATGGAAAGAAATACTCTGGAAACTCCCTGGGCTTTGAGGATCTGGGAGGGTGGGGAAGGGAGATAGGGAAACTGGATTAAATAAGAGAATTCAATAGTGGTTAATTAAATCAAAGCCATTAAAATAAGGGTAGCTCTCCAGATGTCTTCTATGGCTTAAGGGCACCTTAGGATCAGAGTCTCCCTCAGGGCCATTGAGCCCTGCTCAGAGATTGTTAAATGATTCCTTTCATCCCACTGAATAACAGTGGAGGAAGGGCAAAGGATGGCGGAGCTTTTCCTCCGCTCCTCTAGAAGGGCTGCCAGTGGAAAAGAGCTGCAAACTAAGGGCTTAATGTAAAACCAGAAGAAGAGAGACGCTCTGGTAGAATTTATTCAACTCATCTACATGAACAATTTAATCTATCAACATTAATCAAACAACCCCATGACCACAGAGCTAAATATATTTTTCAACCACCCAGGATCTGATTTCTGTGAACACGATAAGAAAGGTTTCCGTATATAACCCAGATAAGAAATACCCCTCGGCTAGTAATTTTCCCACACAGACTTTGGTGGGCCAAGCCCTGTCAACTGGCCATTTCCCCAGCAGACGCTATTAGGATGTTGGCGGCCTTAGGTCCCCTCCCTCAGGGGAGACCCAACCAGTTCTGCTCAGGTCTGTTCCACTAACATTCCTCCAACCAGCATGGGCTGCGGGACCGCTGGGGGCATTTTGGCTCCTAAGACGAGAAGCGAGATCTGCAGGAAGCGTTCATTCTCAGGGGCTAGGCCAAATCAGACATCTTTTTCCCAAAGGCAACTTGCTCTGCCAGTAATCTGCATTTTTACTCAAAAAGTAGAGTAATTAAAGAGAAATGGCCTCAGTCTCCTCCTCTGGAGGCCAGCTTTTCCTTCAGTTGCTTCTGAGGTGAAGTGAAGCTGGTTTATCCCCTCAAGGCCACCATGGGGATGATGGGCGGGGGCACTGGGAGGATGACTCCCTGTAGACACAGTGCACAGGTCAGGAACGCCCTGCGCCTGGGTGGTCCTAGCCCACCCCGGCAACCTGTCACAAGGCCTTCTCAGGCTTTCAAGGGGCCCAGGTGCTCCGACTTTTGAAGATCCTAGCCCACATTGTAACAAATGTATTGAAATGCATCTGTATCCCAATTTAAATACTTTTTGCTGCGAAAAAAATGTTTTGAATTGTAATTTGGCTTTCGAGATGACTTGGTTATAAA